AATCTCAGTTGGCATGTGCTCTGTTGAGAGCTTTAAGAGTTTGGCAGCTCTATTCCCTGAAGTTTCTTAGTTGACTAAATGTTCCCCAGCCTTGGCTTTTAGTGGCTACTTAAGGCAGTCTCTGAAGTTGCTCTTTGAGTTGCCACTGCCCATCCAGACTTTGACCTGAGAGCAGGGAGCCCTTCTGTTTTTCTCTGCCTGTGTCCTTACAGAAAAAGGAAAATGTGGAAGATGCGAGAACAGCAGATTTGCAGGTCTGCAGTTTCTTGGCTGTCTTAAGAGATGCAGTTTGGTCCTGGAAAGGCATTTTCCCCATACTTCAGCAATTGTACATTGTTTTATACAGAGACTTAATTGGTGCAACCAGTAATTGACATTCGACCTGGTATTCTCAGTTGGCATTAGCTTTTTTTTATGACAGTCTCATCTTTAGTCAGGCTTGAGTTTGTTCTGTCTTTCTTTCAAAGGGTTTTCATTGGGTAAAAGTAAAGGATAAGTACCTGATATGGATATTTCTAATATTTCTGGGAACCAGAAAACTACTGTAAGCAGAGAACTTACAACTAACTATGCAGCAACCAAATAAAGGAGCATTTTGTTTGATCTACTGGTTAAATGAACCATAGTTCTCCAGGTCAGATAAAGAAGAAATCAGTAGGGTAAAAAAAAAAACTTGTATTTACAAGATACTCACTTATCAGCAAGCAGATGATATTCTTTGCTTTTCCTGCAAGGAGTTGATAGAATTATTTGCTGAGTTTGTGATAATTAGAACTCATAAGAGTGTCAGATATGTCCAAAGTGCATACTTTGTGTGTCCATATATATGCGTGACTCAGATGTTAAATACTGAGCTCCATTTTTTAACCTCCAGGTTTTTATGAATTAATGAATTATGAATATGAATAGCTATTGTGTACATCATATAGACATGTAAGCATAGGGTAAATGTCACATTTAAGAGCTGTCTTCATTTCTCACCTATGTTAAAGTTCTGTGTTGCAAGAGATGTCTTCACACTGACTCTTTGTGTGGCCTGGAAAAGAGAAATGACTCCCATTACTGTACCTAATATTCCTGTCCATGGGGTATAAGCAGGAATCGTTAGGACAGGTAATAGGGTTGTAGGTATCATGGGACACTTTGGCTGATTTGTAAGTAATGGCAACATGTGAATAAACTAAGCAACTATTACGTTTTGTTTATAGATTTATCATAACATCCTTAAGGCTGGCATTATGCAAATATCCATGAAAAAATGATCTCCTACAGCTCTACAAGATGTCTAGGACAGGGAGTCCTTTTTAGATATTTCATAGCAGTAATTATCTGTGTCAGTTCTATCATAGCCAAGATTTCCAAAGCAGATTGTTTGATACTATAAAATGAAATATGATCTTAATGCACCCTATGACACTGTGTTTTTTCCATGATTCTTTGGGGAAGTAAAAGTATTCTTCCAGCAATTTGCATAAGCCTTTGCTCTTTTGACAAGAAATACCTTTTTGGATAGGCCACCTTTGTCAAACTGAAATTGCTCTTTATTAAAATAATGCAGCAGTCATTATTCATCTTGGTAACCATAACATTTTTCTAAAAAGGCAAACTGCACCCTATGTGTATAATCATTATTTTGAGTTACATTTTTTTACTAATTGTCCATTTGCACCACTTACTTATTCTGAATTGTTATTTTTGGCACTATTATTATGCAAAAGAATAGAGCCTGAATATTTTATTTTTTTTCAAGATTAGTCCAGTTGTCACTAGGGAGACTACTTGTGGAATGAAGAAATCAAATTTATCCAAAAATGATGACCTACTATTTCTAAGCAGCTTCAGTAATGATATTTGTTCTTGTTTAAAGATACAGTTAAATCTCAAGTGAATATTACTGTAATACAATTTAATATACTTGTCCTCTTTCATGTTTTTCTCATTTGTTTCATAAAGATTTTGAGAAACCTGAAAGAAGAGCACTGTACCTTAGAGTATAAATAGTCAATTAAGGTCACAACATTTATTTTTTGGCTGCTGGACAAGCACTTTGTATGTAATTGTTCTCACTTCTGCTTATTCTGGTTTGATTTTGAATATTGTCTGGTATGCGTAATCCCAAGGCAATTTCAGATGAGACATGATTTTTTTTTTTTTTTCTGGATGGAAATTGCTTGTTTTTGGAAATCAATCCATTATCAAGCAGATTAAGTACTGTTCTTGTTCGTGTATTTGTTCATTTCAAGATGTTTAATCTTTAATTTTTGTGAGATAAATCAAGTGGTAAATCAGTTAACATTAGTGACATCTTGTCTAGATCTAAGGCCCAAGTGGCTTGCAAGCAACTGCTTACTCACTTAACTTCAAATTTTTACATGTATTACAAATATTTAACCAAGTCTGTGATTTTTCCAGATGCTTTAAAATTGATTTCTAGGCTGTTTTGCCTAAAAAACAAAAGGAAAAAAGTCCTTCTTTCTCCAAATGAACTGTGATTTTGACATCATTCCAATTTCTTTCTTCCTTTTTTCTGAAGTTTCTGAAAAATAAATATGTATGGGCAAACAATGGCAGACCTCTTTTTTTTTTCAAATGGGGTGTCTATTGTAGAAAGAAAATTTCAAACTGTTAATAACTCAATTTTTAGTATTATGAAGGTCCTATAGTTGGCTACAGAAATTGATTTGAACATTGTTCTGATGCTGTTAAATCTCTTTGATATAAATATGCCCGATCTGTCATTGATTGAGAAGAAAACATAAAACATTTTGACTGCTACAGTTAGCAAACTTAAAAGAAAACTATATAAAAGACAGACTGATTTCATGATATACCTGTATCCTGGAAATTGGAATTTTGGTAAAAGAAGTTTTCTGCCACAGACTGTTACATTAATTATTGCATTTAGATAAAGATAGTAGATACAACAGTTAGTAGCTCAGTTTTTGCAATATGCTATTATTTTTGTTCTTAAAAGCAAACCCTAATTTTGAGAGTCTCATTTTCTGATTCAGCAATCAAGCCCAGTTTATGGGAAGCCTGTATCCTCAAGGCAAAGCCTCAAATCTTTTGTCTGAAGGTAGATGGAGCCCACCAGTGCCACCATTCCTCTTTAAATAATCAGTTGAGTCTGCCCTGTCTTGAATATCTCATCTTAAAGATGAGAGAAGTGTTTCAGTGCCTTATTTTCCACCGGTAGCATGGACAGTTTGCTTCATGGAAGATTGTTTAGATTCCAGATTATAAAGAATGCAGCTCATGGGATTCCTGGAGGTCTTCCTGAAGGCCTGAAATATGTTTTTCTAAGACTTTACACAGGCTTCTAGTGAAATTCCTGAGCTAGTATAAAGTCATATAGACTTTTTTTCTTGAAGCATGTTACGTGACTGTCCAAGCATACCCTATCTTACAAACCCTGAATGCTTGTAACATTCCCTGACAATTTTTTTTGCATTCATTTTTACCAGTTCAGCTGAATAAACAACTATGGCCATTCTAGTCCAACTGTCTTGTGTGAGAAATCCCACTAAAAGAGAAAAACTGCATGTATGAGCACAGTAATGCTTTAATAAATGCTAATGGCCAGAATGCATTAGCTTCACTGGAAAACCCTTGTATCTTGTATGAAAAGAAAACAAAAAAAAAAAAACACAAAAAACAACAGTGAGGAAAAATGAAATCATGATGAAATGGTAAAATTTTGAAGAAACTACCAAAAATAAATAAATTAAAAAAAAATCTGCAATCAGCAGGATCTTAAAATCATCTTCTTTCTTCAGATTATTTAAAATTATTCTGTTCCTGTTTTTGTTCTTTATTTTGGAATAAGTCACCTGTCTGCCAGCCCAAGGGAAATCTTGGTTCAAGGAATACAGAAGGTGTGTTAAGGAACTGAGGTTTCCCAGGTTTTCAGTGATTGCCTAGTACTTGACATTATAGACAGGCAGTGCTGGGTCTCATTAACATTGTTGCAGTTTATCTTCATCATTACACCTGGATTGATTTGTGTCATTCAATAATGATACTATGACAGCGACCCTTGTGATTCTTGTCTGATGTTTTTCTCTTCATTATTTAGTGAAGTAACTTTGTCCTTTCCTCTACTAAACTGCAGTTTTAAATTGCGTACTCTTATTATGATTATGAATGATAGAAAAACTGAGAAATTAGAAGTAAAAAAACTAAAAATAGCACCATCATAGTTTGATGTGATCACCTAAGAAAACAAATTTCCTTGAGATGGATCTAGACAAACACTGCCTATAGTCATCTTCCATTCCTACAAAGTAGACGAGTATTACTTTCATAGTGAGGATGCAAGCAATCTGAAGCAGTCTGCTTCACTGTTGCAGAGGACAGATTATCAGAAATCTGTTAAAGAAATACTCCTCACTCCTCACACACTTGCTCTATAATTATAAAGAGACTGTGCTGTTTGTTTGGTCTTCTTTGAAGAATACTTATGGAGCCCCTCTGAATTCCAAGACCAGGAATAACAAACAGATGAAAAACAACAGAACACCTATAACTTCCAGTACCGATGGCTTCAGTGGGAGCTGCAAGTTGGAAGGGATTGTTAGCTTTAGCACAGTGTTATTAAGATTTATTACAGCTTTTCAGTGAGCCAATATTTTGTTTTCTTTTTTCCTTTACACTGGTCAAAGCAGATAGCAACATATAGTTGTTTGTGGCCATATGAATTAGGTCTGGGTGAAAGGCACTTTTTCATCTCCCCTTAGCAAACACTAAAATTTATACAGTGGAGTATTACATGTTTTTAAAGTCTCCTTAATGCAAATCTCCTAGCTGTGTAAATTATTTCATGTCAAAATTCTGTAAGGTGAGGTCATGATGTTTTGAGGTGAGCAAAGTAGAGAAGGGAATAGAAATGAGAGTTGTGTTGTTTTTAACTTGAATATGTTTTTAGCATACATAACCTTGTATCTCTCCGTTCTAATAAAATATATCTAATCTATGACTTCATGTTTCTCCTTTCTTTCTAGTCCATTTCTGACATGGAGAGACATACAACACATTATTGTCAGGACTTCTCGTGCTGGACATCTGAATGCTAATGACTGGAAAACCAATGCAGCTGGTTATAAGGGTGAGAGCTTCCTTTCTTCTTTCTGTTAGAGACAATGTCGTATTTTCACATTTATGAAGAAGAAACAGTCTCAGGTAATTTGTATGGCCCTGTGTTGTACATAGTTTGGAGACTTTCCAGGCTCATACTTAAGGGCCCTGTCTTCCATAAAGACAAGCTCTTAGAATTACTAAAATCAAAAGTGGCAGCTACAAAATGCATTGTCCGGATCCTGTTAGTCCTTTACAGCCCTATTTGGCACATTGTTGGCAGAGAACTTAGTAAACCTAGTGCTTTTGAATCTCCCTCATGTAGTGAGTATTCTGATAAAATAACCTGGAGCTGAAGATGCAGCAGTTACTGAAGGCTGACCATGGTCTCATTCTCGATTGTTGTCAATTGTCATTTAAAATTACAGAACAATATTTTTATGTTTCTTTTATATTTATATATAAAATTTCTGCCTGATTTAGGATAAAATAAAATGTGAAGCTATTATTATGTTTAATGGGAAAGAATTCATGGTCTTCAGTTGTACAGTCATAGAATCATAGAATGATTTGGGCTAGAAGGCACCTTACAGTGCCAGTCATCTAGTTCTAACCTTCCACTAGATTACATTGCCCAAGGCCCCATCCAACCTAATCTTGAAGATCTCAGAGATGACAGAAATCCTCAACTTCTCTGGGCAACCAGTATGTAACAGTCCTCATAGTGAAGAATTTCTTCCTTAAGTCGAATACAGCTCTTGCAGACTCTTTTCACAGAAAAGGTACTCCAGCCCTTCGATCATATTTATGCCCCTTCTCTGGACCTGATCTTCCAGGTGCACATCCTTCTTATACTGGGAGTTCCAGAGATGATCACAGCAGATGGGGTCTCAAAAGGGCAGAGGTGAAGAATCAACCTCTGATTGACCTGCTGGCCACACTTCTTTTGGTGCGGACCAACCAGGATACAGTTGGATTTCTAGGTTGTCCCAGAGTTTTCAGAACTTCTGTACAGTCTAGTAATTCTGTATCATAGTTATGTCTTTTTTGTCTGTTTTATTTTTTATTCTTTTATAATGCAAGCGGAGGGAATCATTTGCACCACTAAAAGAGGCAAATAAGATAGATTAAAACTGGACCTTGAGTCCATCCAATGCTATATTCAGCAAGGGCTAGTTTCTGACTTTCATTCACTAAATTCAGTCTGGATTGCTTTAAGAAAAACAATAACAAAAACAAAACAACAGAATGGCTTATTTCTCTTTCTCTTCACATAAGAATTCTGCTCGGTACTGAAGTACTTCTTTTAAGATGAGTTTAAGTCTTGAGATTGGAACTATTTTGTGCTAAGATCTCCTGGGAGAACAAAGTAATGAACAAGAACCATCAGATCTTTACACTGTTTTCTGAAGCCTGGTATTAATCTATTCCAGAACAAGGCACTGCTACAATAGAACATCTTTAATATATCATTCCACCCCATGATACTTCTTCTGCAACTGAATGATACCAACCAAAATGTAGAAATAAATAAATAAATAAATAAATAAATAAATAAAATCATAGCCTTTCACTGTTGGATCCAAATCAGACTAAATACAGAGAATAGATTTAGAAACAAATAGTTGACTCCTACCCCCTCACCATCCGAAGGCTCTAACATTCAAGAGACTGCTTTTGTCCCATTTACAACAAGCATGTGCCCACACGAAGAAAAACAAATACAGTAAGAATTTATACCTCTTGAATTGCAATAACATTACAGTTTTTGTTATTGTGAAACATATCTCAGGATTTAAAAAGTTTTGGCAGAAGATTGTGACTGTATTATCATTTTGTTGGAACTATCTGAAATTCAAACAATGCTTTTCAAGTAGCATAAAACTAAGTGTTTTTTCCCCCAGCTCACTTCCAAAATTCTGTATTTTTATGTTTTTCTAATTGTTGCTCAACAGAGCCAAACACCGTGTAAGGCATTTCAGAGCAGCTGTCACTCATTAGCAAAGGATAAGTCACACTAATACACCAGCAGTAGCAGCATGGGCAGCAGGATTTGCACTCTTACACCACCAGAGCCACACATTTTTTTTCTATGTGTTGCAATGGATAAACAGTGAGGAAAAGGGCTCAGAAAGTTTTCTTCTCCTCTTTTGCAAAATCAGGAACATACAGATAAGCTCAACTGGGTGACTGGACACAGGAAGTACAACTTGACCTGGCAGAGTTCTGCAGTAGATTCTGGTGGAATTGAAAAAGAGGAAGACAAACTATGAGCTTCAACCTCTGTAGAGCTCAGGAATCAACTTTAACCCAAATAAAAGCACTAGTTTTAACTAAATTATTTTGGCAACTTAGGCTGAGCAAATGGTTCCAATAAAAATCCAGCTCTCTTTAAACCTCTGTTGGTTTTGGAAGAAGGAGAAGCAAAAGATTTAGATTAAATCTCAACATCCAAACCTGAACTCAAAAGGGGGTTTGCACACCGCTGCTGGCAAGGCTGGAACAATTTTTTACTATTGCACGTGGCAATATTTAGTATAATATTACACTATTATCCTTCACTATTGCCAAAAGTAACAATTAAAGTATGGTCTTTCGTAGATAAATTACTCTGATCAGACTGAGTTCCTTAAGGAATTGTATCATAATTTTGTTGATGGCAAGATCCGTATTTCTTCCAGAGCATGCTCTTAACAAGGGAAGGGGTGAAAGATTTCTTTCTAAATTAACTACAGCAAAGGCAGTCGCAAGAAACAATCTTCCTTTCTTCCACGCATGCTGGGGAAGAAAGAAAAAAATTAGGATAAAAAGAGAGACAGGCTCTCTGCTTTAAAAGTAAGAGCGGAAAGGGTGAAAAAAACTAAAAACTTGGAAGAACCTCTCACTCAACAAAGGGTCAGCAGTAGCTGGTAGTTGAAAGTGGGTCAGCATGCCTTTTTAGTGGGTTGTTTGGCTGAGCTGCATGGCAACACTGTCCCTCGCTTTAGTCACTTGCATTTCTACCCTGCACAGAACACACAGAAGGAGTTCACAGACGTCATTATTGGTTGAAAGATTTCCCTTTTTTTTCTATCTTACATTCATAAAAAGAAAGATTAATTCATGAAAAGCACTTGAGCCAGCCAGTGATTTGCTAAAGCAATGCCCATTATTTGTTTAATTTTCTGGCAAGTAAACAGCATTCATTAAATGCATGTCAATAGTTAAGCCAGGAAAGGGTAAGAATTTTTTCTTGGTAATTCTTTATTATTGTTTTGCTGCTAGCCAACATGCATCTTATTACCTAGCAGGAGCTGATTACCTATCTAGTCTCAAAAAAGAAGACTTGAATATGTATTTTAGAATATTTTCTGGTCCCGTCAGCTTTATATTATTCGTCATTAGACAGATACATATTTTTATATAACTAAAGAAGATAATTAACTTAGTATGAGGAGAAATACTAGAGAACATCTGTTTTTGTGAAGATATCAGAATATTTGGTCTGCTTTTTCTATGGCAGATTGGTATGCAAAGGCTCCTTGTTATGTCTACTGTTTGGTCAACAAGAGAGCATGAGAATGCATTCAGAAAAATGGAATGCTATGTTAATGTCAACTTGTCTCTAGGTTAAAAAATGCAGAATAAAACATTGAGATTTCAAGAACAGTGATCAAATCATGTGAACAATTTTTTATATGTAAGTGAAGCTCCAAATACTATTAAATATTGTCTCTGTGGAAACAGGCCATTTGGAGTGAAGGAATGCTATTAACTCGTGGGGAGATTTTTTGAGAACATCCTTCACGCTTCCTGGCTCTAGAGTGTATATAATAACACTTCAGTGCAGTGAAATAAAATGCAACTGAAAAATAAAGGGAAGTAAAAACTTTAGGCCTCTTCTTTTTCACTTCAGACCATTTCTCCACCCTGCAGAGTTATTTCTTCTGCAGAAACTGAGAGTTATCTCCTGTGCCAGTAGCAGAGTCAAGTCTCTTCCATTTAGATTTTAAAAAAGTATCTGCTGCTTCAGGAAAAAAGTGGTCACTTATTAGTTTATGAACTTTTAGTATTATTATTATCAATAATAATAATATTATTACTGTTACTGTTATAAAATATGTTAATAATTTAATTTTAATTTTCAATCATTCTTGTTATGAGCAGAGTATTACCAGTTCTGTAAATGAGGAAGTGATAAGATTATCTGTGTTCACGTGACTATCCATATTTAAATTTCTTTAGGGACATGAGTAGCCAGGCTCAAATTTAGATTTGAGCAAGAAAGTCTTCACAACAGCATACACATTTCAGAGAAGACAAGCTGTTCATAAACATCCTGCTGATTATTTTAACTAATTCTAAAATCATGTTTTGAAATCCTTGTTAGAAGCAGGCATGTGACTTTTGAAAAATAGCAAGAAATTTGTGAACTATTATGTCAGCCAAATGAAGCAGTTAATCTAACAAAACCCTTCAGTTTTACAGCTTCTATTGATATTTGAATATGGCATCATCAGCTAGTATCAGGTTTTACCCAGCCCTAGCGCCCACATGTGTGCTGCATGGGGTGTGGAACATGGGCCTTGAATTTGTCTGTTTTAAAATCCTGCTTTGGAGTAGTTTGTGAATCTGACACCAAACACACAGAACTGCATTAGTTTTAGCTTGCAGGCATGAAGAAGGCTATATACAATGCAAGCTAGATTAATGATTTTTTGATAGCTTTATCTTTTGAAAGATAGTACTGATATGTTCAGGTAGACAGCGTAGAATGCTGCCAGAAAGTTACTTGCTGAACTTGTGCAAATGCAATGCAGTCTGTATTTCTTGATTAGCATGTTTAACATGATTCTGACTTTTTATTTTATGGTCACTGCAACCTTTAAAGATGGCTCTTGTTTCCTTTCCACATCCAACAGCTCAGCTGGCAGCTATGAATGTTTTTTAAGGATATTATTAAAATTAGATTAGGAACTTGAGTATTTTATATATTAAATCCAAACAAATAGCTACGTATCTGAACTATTCTGGGTTTGAGTGAAACCTGAA